GCTGCGCCTTCCGGGACACGGCGCACGCGGCTGACATCCCCCAACCGTCGCCGCAACGCTTTCCCCCACGCGCTTCCGGCTCCGGCCAGGCGGGCACACACGGGCCCCGCCCCCCTCGCTCGCGGCGCGCTTGTCATGTGATTCAAAGCGGCCGTGGCTGCGTCAATGCGCCAGGCTCCGCGCAGGCGCAGTGCCAGCCGCGGGCGAGTTCTTCCCCCTAGGCGAGTTCTCGCGAGAAGACGGTGAATGATGATGGGCAGGACAGTCACCGCCTGGGGAGAGCGCTTCGGGGTTGGAGCGGCCCCTGCTGGAGGCGGGTGGTAACGGCACTGAGGAGAGCGGCAGCCTGGGTCTGAGCCGGGAGAGGAGCTGTGCTGGGACCGCTCTATGGCCAGACTGCCAGGGCAGTGATGCTCAGCCAGGGGTGCTTGGGGATGCTGCGCCCTGCCAGCCTGACGCAGTGGGCAAGCAGGGGCTTTTAACTTGTACCAGCTTCACCTTCCAAAAAGAAGAGGATAAAAAATAGAGCAATGGGCTATTCAGAGTGCAGTGCTCCCTTGGTACAAGGTGTCCAGGATAACAAATAAACAGGGATCCTGATTTTCCCCGATTAAAAAAAAAATAAAATCCCCAGTTTTCAGATTAAAAAAAGAAACCCCAAATCCACATTTTTCTGTGATTAAAATGAAACACAACTATATATATATGTGTATATATATATATATTAGTGGCATTTCACTTTAATCACGGGAAAATGTCTATTTGGGGCTACTTTTTTTAATCTGAAAATTGCGGATTTTTTTTTTTTTAATTGGAGAAAACCAGGATCCCTGCAAATAAACACTCAGAAAAGGGACTGCCACCATTGGTGACACGCAAGGGGTGCATGTGGGTGTGATCCCTGGAAACGCCAGCTGCGAAACCGGATGTGCCGGTGGAAGTGCACCTCCGTTTCACTGCTGGTGATTTCGGGCTTGGCGATCTGCCAGGGGGGACCTCTGCACCCAGTCAGTAATCTGGTGTCCCCCTGACTTGGGAGGCACCAGTTGCTCATGACTACCACCAAAATGTCTCTTTCCTTTTCACTTAGTGCTAGGGTGCCCACCTGTCCCTACTTAAGCAAGGCAGTCCCAGAATGGGATCATCCAGTCCCGGTCCCAGGCTGCATGACTCCAGGACAGCTTGTGTCCCATTTTAAGGTGGTCAACCTGCTTAGTGCCTGTTATGGCTTATGTTATGGCCATGCAGATGCTGAGAGCTGTCAGTGCCAGCTCCAGTTTGGAGCAGTCACACCCTTAGTCTAGAAGTGTTTCTCAACCCGTGGTACACGTGCCGGGTATGCAGGTGCTGTGTTTTGGTCTTTGCCTGCTTGGGCTGGACGTTCCAGTTGCTGCCCCTCCTGCTGTGTCCAGTGCGCCGGGGCTTTCAGTCCCCAGGATCAGTGTGCCGGGGGATAAGGAGGGAGGCTCCATGCAGACTTCTTTGCCCCGGGCCGTGGTGGAAAAGGTGGGACTCAGCTCACGGCGGCAAAAATCTAAAGTGCCACGGTGAGACTTTCGCTTTTGCCACATTGATCGGCAGGGGGTATGTAAGGTGCCAAAGGCTGAGAACCACCGGTCTAGAAACCTCCGATTGTCCCCAACCTCTGCATCTGGGACTTGCCACTAGAGGCCTAGTGAACAGGAGCAGGGATGATTAAGTCAGGGATGGTCCTGGTTTGAGGAGGACATTGGAGTAGACCAGTTTTTCTCAACCCCTGGATCACAAGAACATATGGGTCACAAACAAACTTTAAAAATGAATTATCCTTTAAAGGAGAAAAAATGTGGCTTTTTCTTTTGTAGGCTAGCAGAGTTCCAGCCTGCAAGGGGCTGCTTGCCCCTCCCCCCCCCCCCCCCCCCCCCCCCACACACACACTGGGGGCTGGGGGAAAGGGGCAGCAGTTCAGGAGTGAGGGGCACTGGGTAGGGACTGGCCATCAATGTTTACAAATGGGTCCTGGTACAAAAAAAAGTTGAGAACCACTAGACTAGATGATTTCCTGAGGTCCCTCCCAACCCTAAGTGTGTATGGGCACCTGTACACATTATGGTTGTCAACTCTCCAGGATTGCCCTGGGATCTCCAGGAATTGGATATACAGGATTCCCTCGTCAACCACGGTGGTTAGGTTCCTGAAAGTTCCTGTGGTTGGCAAAACTGTGGTTGGCAAAACCAGCACGCCTGGGGGAGCAGGGGCTGTGTGTGAGGGGCACCAGCAAGGCTGGAGGTGGGGGAGTGAGAGGCATGAGCAGGGCCAGGTGGGCAATGGGGGGTATTTTCCAACTGTACCCCACCTTCTCTTGAAGCGTGAATACTCAAAACTGTGGTAGTAGACTTGATTAATGATTATGGGATTAATGCATACAGATTAATCGAGTCTGCTGGAGTGTACTTATTAGCACCCTCCAGTAGCTTTGGCATGTGTACTCAGTGTTCCCACACTTCAAAATGGTGGGGGTGCTTTAACTAAAGCTCATCGGATGAGCTTAGCTAAAGTGGCCCTGCCACCATTTTGAAGTGCAAGATGCTGACTACGTATGATGCGGCAGGCACTCGAATTAAAGCAGCCTCCCCCTCCACCCAGGAGCATGTGTAAATGCCCTATGATTCCATGAATAAAGCAGGTCTTCCATTGGAAAGACCCCAACAGGCCAGAATGTGTTTACAACCATGAATTTCTCTTCAGAAAAAATCTCTGGGTTTGCCTACCTAGCCAGCCAGGAGGGCTGAGAAATAACATAAAAATAGACAGACACTATTTACTGAGGGTGGTTGGAGGTGTAGCCAGTTCATTAACAATAAAGTTAATTTTTGTATAGTATAAATAGTCCTAAAGGTAGCTTTAAAAATACAGTTCTAACCCAAAAAGGCAGACCAAAGATTGTTGTTAAGTACTTTAAAATAGCCAACATTAAAATAAAAGGTTTAAATATTTCTGTTTCTCATACTTGAAGTACAGTCAGAAACTCATGTAATCCAAGCAGTCTGTAATAGAACAGCTGGTCTCTAATGACACGCCCTAGCCTTACCGAGCTCACTCTACAAATACTTTAAAACAAACTAGGGCCATGGGGCTTAAATCCTCCTCCCATCGCTCATCTCTAAAGAAGACAGTGCTTCTATAGTTCAAGTAATGGAAATTTATATTACGGATCTAAATATCACAGGGTTCAAATCCTGCTAATCTCTTTAAGGAGATGGTATGGGTTTTTTTTATTTCATGGAAAGGAGGTCTCTTTAAAACAGATTCTGTACTCAAAAAGTACACTGACCACAGGAAATCAATTGATCTGCATGCACTTCTCAAAATGTTACAAGGGCTTCAGCGGTGTTAAGGCCAAACAGCTCCCCAAATAACTGGATTGTGTGACAATCTGCTGGTCTGTTGCTAGCAAAGGCATAAGAGCACAGGACTGAACAGGGCCTCCAGGCCCATCAAGTCCAGTCGCCTACATTAGCATTTACCCAATGAATCCTCCAAATTGCCACTTCAAACCCTCCTGTGCAACTTCCATGCACAACATTTAAAACACCAGCACCTTCCTATAACATGCCCTTGATTAGACAAAGGAGACAAGCTACCGTATCAAAGTGCAAGTTTTATGAAACCAAATATTTATTTGTTAAAGATGGAATTTGAATCCTTATGGAGGGTTAGAGTGTATTATGAATAGTATCGTACAATTATATAAATCTTTCCTCTTCTTGTTTCCATGCTTTTAAAAGTTTTGGGCATATACTAATTTAAGCTTATCTGTAACTGATATTTTAATGAACAGGCCACTACCTAAGAAGAGGCCCGCAGGGTAAAGAACTAGTTAACATAACTCCATTTTAAACCAATAGGTATAGTTACCTTCTTGCAAAATGGGCATCTAGTCAAATTACTTCTCAGTACATTCATGTACCAGAACTACTCAGCAATCCACCCTCAAATTACTTTCCTCTTGTTATCCTATTGTGAGGAGGAGCTGTCACACTACAGAATAGGATACTGATGCTAAATCTTCTGGGACACATTACTTCATTTCATTACAGTAGACACTGTCACTTTATAGATGCTTTTTTTGCTGTGAATTGTGAAAGAAAGCCTATCCCTGTCTGTGGCAGTTTACAGAGGTAAGCCAAGTTTGGGCTTGGCACATTCCATTTCTATCTAGGGCTTGTTTCAACTTGTGGCAAGAAACAGATGCAAGTCTTACTGCTTGTGCAACATATTTTGGCAAAAGGAAGCAGCACTGAGGAAAGGGAAGAACTGGAATATGTGTGGGCAGAATGTAGAAGAGGTACACAAAGCTGGAAGGGGGAAAAGGGCTGCTCCAGCTTTAATTGTAGATAATTTCTTCAGTTGGTATTCCCTGCCTTCCCTTCTTCTCCAACACTTATGATCTTTTATCATAATTTACTATCATCTTCTGTGGGGGGGGGGGGGTGGCATGTATGGCAGAAAGTTGTCCTAGATCCTTTTGATGATTGATGAACTAAAAGCCATTCAGTGGCTTCCTGCCTCCCATTAGTTTGAGGACAGTGTTACCAATTGATCATGTTCCTGATGATGTCTCCTTTTACTTTCTGCAGCATAGCAAAGTACAAATTGTAACTTTTATTATTAGGCTTCATCCTCTCATTATACTTCTCTTGCCTGACACCTACTGTTTCTGCTTTCCAGCATATCAAGCAACTCTTCTACCTTTGTTCTTCAAATTTCACCCATTTACTAGATCTGGTAGGCCTTTGAGGAGCTAACTGAAGGAAAAGAGCAGTAATATATTCCAAGCAGTGGTGGCATTGCCTGAGGTAAACTTGCTGAAGATCCCAGACAGGAAAAAAAGCAGCTGGTTCAAACTTCCGGCACAAAAATATTTCCACCTGACAAGTGATGAGCAGGTTGGTAATGGGCCAGAGTAGCAAAGCATGAGTCACAGGGACATGGAGCATTTTCCTTTCCTAGAAACTTGAGAGATGGTTTGGCATTTCTGTTGAATGAAAAGGTCTCGTGCATCATTCCGCAGGGCCTGACCAACATTTGAATGAACATACATTAGATCAGAAGTTCCCACATTTTTTTCTTATTACATACGCCCTTCCAGATTTATCAGCTGCCCATGTACCCCTCCCAACATGCATTTTATATTTTAAACTTTTAAATGTCAATTATTATTACAATGAAAATTAAACCTGCCATTACACAATTTTCTCATGTACCCCTCAGATGTCTTGCATACCCCCAGGGGACCATGCACCAGTTTGGGAACCCCTGCGGTATCCTCTAAGTGGTTCTCAAACTTTTTTTTCGAGGACCACTCGAAAATTGCTGAGGGTCTCAGTGGACCACTTAATAAACTTTTTTTTGTTCTATAAATCAAAGCACACAACTCATATTTTAATATCAGTAGTCTTACCTTACAAGTACAGATATTCTCGATTTTTCTGCAACCTTTCTGCAGACCATCTGAATGGAGCTCGCGGACCAGTGGTGGTCCACAGACCACAGTTTGAGAACCTCTGCTCTAAAACATGCTCAACAGGCTGCTTTACTGGTTTTTTGTTGGGTTTTTTTTGGGGGGGGGTGGAGGGGGAGATCTGTCTCAAGCTGTTCCACTGCTTTGGTCCCACTGGGGAGGTCCTGAGACTCTGGGCCCAGTTCACAGTCAACAAGTCATAGTTAAATACCAGTAAGTCAAGAGATGCAATAGTTAGGAATGAGATAGGTATAAAAGAGTGTACATACTATTGAAGGGGAACAAACGTGGAAAGGCCTAATTAAAATGCTACTTACTCATTTCTCAGGTCTTCATACCCAACAACCTCCTGCAGCACAACCTCCCTCCCTCCCTCCCCTGTAACAGCCCCAAGCTCTGGAATGGAACACATCAAACAAGATAGTGACTCAGCCCTATAAAAATTCCTTTTAGTCTAAAAGAAAGAAAATATTGTTCCACACATCTTAAGATACTGGAGGTCCAGAAATTATCTGTAACAGATCCAAAAATAGAGCCCTGCTCCCATTAACAGCAGACTCAACTTTATCTTCCTAGAGCTGGTTCAAACAGCTTTGCCACCCATTTAAACTATTCTAGTTTAGAAGCAGGTATTTAAATTGATGCAACTCTCTACTGTGTATACAGTTATACCATATACTTATATGGATATAACTTAGCAAATTTAATTTCTATATACAAGTTTATACCTGTTTAAGTTTATACCCATCCACACTGGTTATTGTCTAAATGTATTCCTCATCTGCTATACAAAAACAGAGACCAGGCCTCAGATTTCCACTATTCTTTCTAAGACACCATGGCTATGGTGCCTGTAAAACTGGAATATAATTCTGTATACCCAAGCGGCTAAAAGAAGAAAAAATGGACTCTATAGTTAAACTAATGGATTGGAATACACCAAACCCCTGTTTTTCTCTTTTTTGTCCACCAAAGACTGCCTGCATAGTGTTATGAAGAAAACAGGAAAGCCAACGTATTGGCAGCAGACACTAACTTGGCTCTCTAAAAGATTACCTTTAAGGCCACTAAGACACAGTCTAGTCAAAGGGCAGAAAGCACAGTAGCAGATTAAGCAGACGAAGAGGATCAGATAGGCACTTGGGGAAAATGCAGGGCCAATCTGTGGCATGCCTGCCAAAAAAGTTAGCCCCCACTGTTTTACATAAAGCCAAGAATTTAATGTGGGCACTTGCGCATCTACTAAACAAGTTCCTTCAACAGAGCTCTGTGTGAAAGTTTCTTAACTATGCCTCTGCTCGATTTAATTTAGAGTTTTTCTCTTCCAATAGGCCTGTTAGTCTTAGCACCTGACCAAGTACAAGATTATGGTCCTCCAAAAAAAAAAAAGAATAATTAAGCCCAGAAACATCACAATTTTGCTCTGCCACTTCATATATATGACATTATCTGAGATTCTATCCAAGAACTTTTCAATACAAGAAGAAAACACATCACAGTCAGTTAGGGCCAGAGCTTGCAAGGTATAAACAAAAAAAACCCTCTGGCAGTTATCAAACAATTTCTCACATTTGCTTTGCTGTCATGTGATTGCACCAAGCCCCAGGAGGAAAAAAGTAAAAAAGTAAAGCTATTTCTCATTCCATCAAGCCATTTGGGCAAATACAAAATAAAGCAACTTTTATTGTTCATAAAACTGTAACACAAGGATCAGCATTAGGAAATATTTCTTCAAATAAAACTTCTATATAGTTGCACTAAAACACATCAGATTCCAGTGAAGTACAATGTATGACCACAAACATCTTTTCAATTTACTGCTGGCTGTATAGCAAATTAATCAATTGGTCAGGACAGCTTATAAGTATAGTCTTCAGGCAAATAAAAAGTCTATCGTACATATAGTGGGCTCATTTGGGAAACTATTAAATGGTTAATCCTTATAGTCTCTCTCAACTAGTCAGGACTGTGCTATTAGCTCTGAATCTAAGGCTAGAGCAATCTGAATAACCAGGTAGGGAGCCTTAATGAGAACAACTGAGAACCCAGCCCTCCCACACTTCCTTTTTTACTGTTAGTGGTGCCTTTAATATAATCAATAAGATTTTGGAAAAGGCAAATGTTATTGGCATGATTTAAGTGTCTGCACAGGTATTCCATGGGTGTTTTAGTAGCTTATGTTCTATCTGACACCATATGTCCTTGCACTGCCTAAATGTCTGAAAGTGGACAATCATAGACCCTTTAAAGCTGATGAAAACTTTAGTTGGTTTTTATAGTCTGGATCCTTTTAAGATTAGAGTAGCTAGGCAATCTTCGACATGTTTTATTTCAAATGATTTGTCTCTCTGTGTATTGTGGCTCATAAATGCATAAAAGAATGCTGCAAAGGAAAAGGAAAGACATATTTCTCATTTATCAGAAATCACAAGAAGAAATGTGGTTAAGAGATAAGAGCAGGAAAGAAAAACCACATTGTTTAGACCAACTAAGGAACTGAACTAACTTTGCTTACATAAATAAAACATTTATTATATTTATAAAATCCTTGATCTGTTTTCTGCATTCTAAAGTATGTTAAATTCTAATTGTAATTAAGTGAGATTTCCTACCTTTTCATTTTGTTGCATATTTTCATGCATCTCTCAACCAAAATCTCATGCCTCCATTTTCCAGATTGCACAAATTTTAATCTTGATAATTTATTTGCCCTTCCAACTATGCTTCTTAATATCTTCCAATTCTTTCTAGTAGCCCAATTGTTATTCAGATAATCTATCCTCTTCCTTTCCAGAGGGCTCTAAGACATGCACAATATTCCTG